GCCTAAGGCACCTGACTGCTAATCAGAAGGCTGGCGGTTCAAACCCACCAGCCACCCCTCGGAAGGAAGATGGGGCAATCTACTTCCGTAGAGATACTGACTCAGAATCCCAAGGAGGGGTCACTATGAGTCGGGTCCAACTCGATGGCAAATAATTAACAACATATTTTTAAACATTTTCATTCAAAACACAGTGCAGTGAAATGAGTTCCTTTATGTCTCTTTTTGCAATAGTTCTTTTGCCAAAAAAAAAAAAAAAAAATTCAGAGATTTTTCCCCCTAAACCCTGAGGAGTTACCTTTTCTCTAGTTTACTACTCCTACAGTGTCTGTTATTTTTGTCCATGTGATTGACATTTCCTCGGTAAGTTGTAAATAACTTGGTTTGGTACTTTTTGTCTGGTCCTGGGCTGCAGCCTGCCATATGATTAGTATATATCTTGCAGGAATTAATAATAATAATAATAATAATAACTATGCAAATGAAGTGTTTGTAGTCTACTATGCAAATGAAGTGCCTATAGCTCACTGAGAGGGGATTGTTCAGCTTGTGCTCCCCACCACCACTGGGAGGGGACATGCCTTGAAATTGATAAGCAGCCAACCCCATAAAGATTTTTCAGACAGAAAGAAGGAGAAGAAAGAAAAGAAAGAGAAGAATTACAGAGAGAAGAGGCAAGGACCTCCTAAAAGAACTATAAAATAGGTCAAGGGCTGTAACACTGAAGACAGCAGGAGGCCTAGAAGGTGTCCTGTGGCAGAGTTGGTGGTTACAGAGAGCAGGGCCTATCTTCAGGGAGCCAAGAGGAGGCCTGTCTTCAGGGAGGTCTGTTCTCAGGTGTCTGAGAGGAAGCTTGAACAGCTGAGAGAGCTGTCCTTGCACTGAAGAAGGGAGACTTTGCCTACATGATTCCTGATCCTGATCTGGAATTGTAGCCTGTTGATCCTGATCCCAAGTTGTTACTTCCTTAATAAACTACTGAACTGTAAGTATGGTCTGTGGGTTCTGTGTAGCACTACAACAGATTATCCAATCCAGAAGAGAAGCAGAGAGTGCTGTGGAGGAATGGCTGGTGTCAGAGTTAGTAAAAAGTTTGCAGGGTGGAGATATGGCTGACTTCTGACTCATGGGAATTAGCTTTGGGCTGATACTAGTCTTTATCCCCACTGAAGTCAGACAGGTTCTGCTGCTACAACTATAATTAATACTACTACAGTTTTTCACATAGCTATCCCCAGTTACTAAATTCTATTTTCACATCTCAACTGCTGCATGCAAATATGAAGCAGTGAGTTTATAGATGCTTTATTTTATGTCACCTTTTAAATACCAAACTATCTTACATTCTAAGTGTCATAGAAGGGAAAATAGTGAAAGGAGTTAATGTACTGTACACATTAAGACTCACATGAGAGCTAAGAAAAATTACATCTTTTTCAAAATCATGTGGTTTTGCTAGGGTATGGATATTTTAAGAAGCCCTGGTACAAAATGATGAAAGCACTCTGCAGCTAACTGAAATGGCAGTTCAGACCCACCAGCCATTGCACAGGAGAAAGATGTGGCAGCTTGCTTCCATAAATATTTACAGTTTGGAAACCCTACTAAGAGGCAGTTCTACTCTCATATGTATAGGGTGGTTATAAGTTGGAACTGACTCAGCAGTGGGTTTGTTTTTCGGTTATGGATATTTAATGTCAAGGAGAAATCATTCACCTAAACTAACCTCCATGGAGTAAAATCATTTATGTACCATGAAATTATTTTTTGCATAGCTTCTATTAGATTTGTCCACACAAAGTGTAAGGAACTCTGGTGGTGCAGTGCCTAAGGCAATGGACTGCTAACCAGGAGGTTGGCAGTTTAAACCCACCAGCTGCTCTGTGGAAGGAAGATGGAGCAATCTACTTCTGTAAAGATTTACTGCTTTGGAAACCCAATGGGGGTCGCTCTGAGTAAGAATAGACTCAATTGTAGTAGGCTTGGTTTCTTGGAAACAAAGTGTGGTCTGCATACTGGTGACAGTTTACAAACTGTTTAGTACCCATCTGTGAGGAGATTAAGTATTGAAGCTGAAAGTGTCTTTTGGAAACTTTAATAGCAATTTAACAGAGTAATTTTATATGTATTGTAAAGAATAATAAAAAATTTGAGCTTTTATTTTGTCTGTCTTTTTATGTTTTCATTTGTCTAGTAATCACTTTGTGTAAAAGTAATGATTTTTGAAGGCCTGGAAATTAAAAAAAGAAATTGGTCCTTCACTACAGAGTTTGAGAAGCACTCAAACAGGTTATTATTTAAGTGCTTGTGAGAATGAAAATAGAATTATAAGGAAGCCCTAAGTGTACTTAAAATGGATTGCCAAAAAAATGTGAGGTTAAAAAGACAAATTTAAGCTTTAGGATACAAAAACACAGCAAACTTGCTTAACATTAATATTTACTTTGAACATAGCTAAGTATGCAATCTGCTTTATCTGTAACATAAATAAAAATTAGGAGTGATGTGAAGGTTTACCTTAACTATTACTTAAAAATAATCTTTACTATCTTTGATTTTGGAAACTCAGACCTAAACCATGATGTGAAGTGTATCTGTCACATGTAAGACATTCATACTCTCACTTCTAAAGTGACTTCACATATATGAAAAATAAAAATACTAAATAATACTTTAAAATAAGTTTTAGAGTATTCAAAGCAAAAATCAGATAATTTCACATGATACATTTTACAACTACCTTAATTCAGAAAGAGAGAAGTGATTTTTTTAAAAAAATTAATTTTATTGTTGTTGAGGAAATGTAATTTCTTAATGCTCTTTCCATTAGATGTATTTTGGATGCTTGATATAATTCAAATCTTTGAAACAAAGAGAGAAAGGAATGAAGTTATTTCTATCATAATCTCAGACACTGCATTTTTTTTAAAGGATGCATGAAGAGCCCTGACAGAAACAAGAGTGAAGGAAAGAAAGCAAAAATCTGCATGATCTAGAGGAAATACATCAGATTTGCCAGTGTGGTTATAGATAATCATATCCTCATTGTTGTTTTTTGTTAGCAGCTGTCAAGTCAGCCCCTGATTCGTGTTGACACCATGCACAATGGAATGGAAATTGCCCAGTCCTGTGCCATCCCCATGATCAGTTGCAGAGCAGATTACTGTGATCTGTAGGGTTTTCTTTGGCTGATTTTCAGAAGTAGATCACCAGGTCTTTCTGTCTAGTCTATCTTGGTCTGCAAGCCCCATTGAAACCTGTTCAGCATCACAGCAACACGCAAGCCTCCACTAACAGATGGGTGGGGACTATGCATGAGTTGCACTGGCCAGAAACCCAACCCAGGTCTCCTGCATGCAAGGTGAGAACTCTACCACTGAATCACCATTGCCTTACTCAAATTCTCAAATAGCGTCTTAATCCTCCGGATAAAATGATTATAACACACTGTGTTATCAAGGTAATTACCCTAATAACAATTTTATAATGTGATGAAAGATTTAGAAGCCTGAAAGATTTCCTAGTTAAGACTTTAGCTAGTCATGAATTACTTATTTAATACTGCTTTAAGATAAATTAAAGAATCTCTGGTGGTGCTGTGCTTAAAGCATTGGGCTGCTAATCAAAAGGCTGGTGGTTCAAACCTACCAGCTGCTCAATGGGAGAAAGATAAAGCAGTTTGCTTCTGTAAAGACTTACAGCAATGGAAACCATATCTGGCCTTTGGACACCAGGGTATAGGGTCACTATGAGTCAGAATAGACTTGATGGCAGTGGGTTTGGGTTTAAGGTCAACTGCACTCTTGAGCCAAGGAGCAGACTGAATTCCCCCAACAGTCAACCTAGACAGGACCACCTCTTAATTGGACATGGGCAATTTCCCTCAGCTAATGTTTTGACCCTTTGGTTTCCTGGAAGGAGGCAGGCAGGCCAATGATGGGAAGAAGACTGACAAAAACTATATTCCCAATGGGAATGCCACAAGGAACACTCAATGCATGGAGATGCAGTGAAAGTCTGTTGTGGTCATTGTGAAGGAACAAAGATAAATAGCAGATTTCTCTAAATAGGGAGGGAAGCACATGCACATGTACATGCACGCGCACACACACAGATATGAATGTGTGAAGAGCGTTAGACTACTATTTTAAAAACTATTTAAGAATAATACCAATCCTTCTCTGACCCACTTGGTTTTCAGAATGGGAATGATTTCTAGCAACTCTTTTATTGGTTGTTTTCAGATCCAAATATGAGATACCTTCCACTTTACATGAGCTTGAGAAGAGAGCAGGCAGAAAACCTTCTTGGTCTGCAAACCCCACTGAAACCTGTTCAGCACCACAGCAAAACACAAGCCTCCACTAACAGATGGGTGGGGGCTATGCATGAGTTGCACTGGACAGAAACCCAACCCAGTTTAGTTCAGTGAAGCGAACTTAGGGGAGAAGGAGGAAGTTTATTTTTTAGAGTTAATCATATCAAAGCCATATTCAACCTTTCAAGGTGCCAAGAACTATGAAAAGATTAAAATACATCACAATAAAACTATTTTTCAAAATCACACAAACTTTACCACAAAACAGAAAACCAAACCAGTTGTCTCTGAGTAGATTCCAATTCATGGTGACTTCATGTATGTCAGAGCAGAACTGTGCTCCAAAGAGTTTTCAATGGCTGTGATCTTTTCGAAGCAGATCACCAGGACTTTCTTCCAAGGCATCTCTGGGTAGATTCGAATGGCAAACCTTTCGGTTAGTAGTCATCTATGCCACCCAGGGACTGCACAAGGATTTCATGCATGCTGAAATTAAAATATCTTTTCTCTAGATTTTTCTGATTATAATATTTTAGATTAGCTCCATAAAAGTGAACTTCCCCCTCCTCTCTCTTTTGGGGTTAAAGTAGCTGCTGTCTTCTGGTGTCCCCTCTTTTTCCATCAACTGAGAAACACAAGCTTAATTTTTGAAATAAAATGCAACATAAGGAAGAAACCTCACCTGGAGTCTCCACCCTGCGGTAGTGATAAGGGTTAATGCACACCTCTTTCTGCTTGGAACCAAATGGGAATTCACAGCACTCCAGTGGCTTCAACTCATGATGAGACTGGAGATCAGGCCAACGCCACACTCGGCAATAAATGACGTGGGGCAAACCCTTGCGGTGGGATACTTGCAGCCGTCCATCCAATGACCGGGGAATTGTGACACACTTGCTGGGCTGCCCTGGACAGCTGAGGGCCCTCTCTAGCTCATCCATGGCTCCCTTCTTCTTCTTTAATTTCTTCACTAAAGAGTCTACTGCCTTCTCTGCCCACTTTTCCTCTTCATCTCCTTGCTTCCAGCCTAGCAGTCTCTTTACTGCTGGGCTGGTGAAGGAGAAAAGGGAACTGATGGGGGTGCTGGAGTGCATACAGGTGGACTGAAGGCATTCAGTGCAAACTGAAACCTGAGAGACCACCCTCAGGGCCCACAGGGCCTGGGGAAAGAAACAGCTATCAATTCTCAAGGAATATCACATAGGTGCAAATCTTCCTGTTCCTCTGGAAGCAAATGACACATTCAAGTTGGGAAGTTTGTTGACTTTCTCCAAAGCCCTTGAATAGTGGCAACTCTGGAAAAAAACAAGATAAGAATTTAATTAATCAGTATAATTTTCAGAGAAGTTTAAAGCTGGATATAAAGAAGAAAACATTCTTCAAATGTTACAGACTTGAAAACTTGTAATCATCTTTGACTCATCCCTCTCTTTGTTCACCATGTCTAAGTCTCAGTAATTCTGTCTTAAAATATCTTTCAGCTTTTGTCCCTTTCTCTTTGTTTTCATCAACATCTGAGACCTTTCCACTCACCTAGACTGCTGTAACAACTCTGAAGTAGTTTCTCTCCTCCTCTCTTCCAATTCTAATCCATTTACTCTCAAATTAACTTTCATCAAGACATTTTTCTATTTAAGAAATGACAGTTGTTCCTTGCAGTCCTTTTTCCCAAGTGTAAACTTTTCTCTCTTGATTTCAAGGGCCTCCATAAGCTTTCCTCAACCCACTCTTTCTTCTTTCTTTCTCATTTATAGTTTGTACAAGTAATCCTTCTTCACTGTAGAAAATATATGTAAGTGAAAAGTAAAAAACTAGTATTACTAACAGTCTCACCACTCAAGGATAACTACTCTTAATATATATTCTTGGAAAGTGTTTCTCAAAGTGTGATCCAAGGGCCCAGGGAGTCCCTGAGAGCCTTTCAGTGGGGCTGTCAGGTCCTGTCTTTTCCAATTACTTAACTGTGAGAGGCTAGTGATCTACTTCTGAAAATCAGCCAATGAAACCTTATAGACCACAATATAATATTGTCTGACTTGCTTGCTTTGGACAAGCCACTGGGATGGATCAATTGTTGGAGGAGAATATCATGTTTGGTGAAACAGAAGGACAATGAGGGTGGTGGAGACCCTCAGTCAGATGGACTGGCTTAATAGCAACAAGATGGACTCAAGCATACCAGTAATTGTGAGAATGACACAAGACTGGGCAATGGTTTGTTCTGCTGTATATAAGGTTGCTATGATTAGGAGACACCTTGATGATATCTATTAGACACCTATAGTTAAAAAAAATTCTCTGTTTTAATTTCTAAGTCAGAAAAGAATGATTGATACAGGCTTCATAAGCAAAGTCTGAGGGTCTCATTAAAAGTGTAAACTGATCATGTCACCCAAAAGTCTGAGAACTGCTTTTCTAGAAGTCACACATAGTCACACGCATATATAACTGTGTGATAGCTGGAGCTGTGTATCAACTTGGCTGGACCACAATTCTGTGTGGTTTAAGCAACTGTGATGTGGGTTATTCCCATGATGGGATCAGATATATATGTTTTGAGCAGCCAATCCATTGAAAGGGAGTTTCTCTAGGGGTGTGGCCTGCTTCCAGTATTTTTATGGACCTTCTGGGAAAAGAGACACTATTCTGTGAATCGGGATCTTGTTGTGCTGCCTACAACTGTCCGTGAGCGAACAATCCACCATTCGAGCTAGAGATCTTGGATTCATCGTTCATTGGAGTCAACAGCCGGTATAATGCCTGCCAACCTTGAGCTCGTCAGCCCCTGCAGCTGCGTGAGTCGGGAAAAGCCTCCAGCTTGACATTTGATCCAAGAACTTGGCACTTGCCAGCTTCTGTAAATGTGTGAATCTATTTTCCTAAGATAAATTTCTCTTTCTCTATATGTATGTATAAGCTTTACTGGTTTTGCTTCTCTAGAGAACCCAGCCTAACATAAACTGCATACACAATAATGCTGCTGTCGTCACACTTGTTATTCTACCTGAAAATCAATGAATTCTTCTTTGCCCTCTCCTCCAAACGAGACATTCTTTTCTAGGTTTTCAACATCCCCAATTAAATTTGCTGAGATAGAGCTTCATTTCCTCTTCTCTGAAGTAGTTGGCTTAAATAAAACTTGCTCTTTGCAGATTTTAGAAACCAAGTACCTCATTAATGGTTAAAATGGCTGTTGGTAACATTTTAGAGCAAGATGACTCTTTTTAGTATCCTGGAATCAATCTAGCTCATAATCTCTAACAGTCACTTATTTAACATGCATTAAATGTAATTTTCTTCTTTGTTTCCCTAGAGGGAAAGCTTTCTGAATCCAATTAAATAAATTTCTTCCAATAATGGTGTTATATAAACCCCTGCTACAGTTATCATTATCAGGCACCTCTTATGAGGAGGATGGCGGCCCAGCTGCACAAAATTTATGACATTTATTAAGTATAAAGCAAAATTTGTATCACTTTGGCCCTCATATGGACTTTATTCAGCATTATATAAACATCATACAAACTATGACAGAGAGAAGCATTGAAGCCATAATAGCTGTTCTTTCTCACCTAGCAGTTTGACTTACACAGTTTTATTTGGAAAGGCTGATGTTTGGCTTAACAATCATGAATGTATAAAGTATAGTTAAGTTCTTGTGTCTAACTCTGCTTTCTTAATCTAGATAGCCTGCTATGGTGTTGAAGGGGTTAGACAGCTTAGAGGAGGAGAAGTAGCATGACATAGAATAATCTGAACCCTAAAAAAGTACTGAATTCTGCTTAGTTTTATATGGGATTTGTTATTAGTAAACTGTGGCATAAATCTTTGAGCTTAAGTTAGTGGTAGAGAAAAGGCCTTTATAACAATGTTTAGCAGAATGAAATTAAACATACCTTTCAAAAAACTGTTGCTTCATGAAACAACTAACAGTTCTCCAAACTCAGATTTCTTTTTTTAAACTGTGGGTTCCTATCTATTAATGGCAAGTGAAATTAATTTATTGGGCCAAAAGAGCTTTTGTAAAAACAAAAGCCTATACTGCACAGCAGCTAACATAGAAAGACAAAGTACTATTTCATTAAAACTTTTTATTCAGAGGTTTGTATTTTGTGTGCCTGAGTGAGGGAATGTGTATGTGTTCAGGGTTACAATGCAAAATTTAAGTATTAGAGTGTATTTGTTATTGTGCATTATAATTTAAAAAGAGCTTGAAAAGTACTACCTCTAAACCATACACTTTCTCACATTGCGTCTGTGGGTGTAGGGCAGCGGTGACTCAGAGGGAGAGTTCTTGCCTTCCATACAGGAGACCCAGCTTCCATTCCCAGCCAAAGCATTGCATGTGCAGCCACCACCCATCGGTCAGTGGAGGCTGGTGTGCTGCCATGATGCTAACCAGGCTTCAGTGGAGCTTTCAGACTAAAATGGACTAAGAAGAAAGGGCTGGAGACCTACTTCCAAAAATTAGTTGATGAAAACTCTATGGATCTTCATGTGCTACAGTTAGAAAATATTAGTAACAATAATCTCTGGAAAATAAAAAATCAAAAACCCTTTGGATCACAATGGTTTCATCTCACCATGCATGAGGCCACCATGAGTCAGGGTCAACTTGACAGCAGCTAACAACAACAATAATAACAACCTAACTCTTTAAGGCTCAGCTGTGAGGAGCAACTTTCAGGAACAACCATTCCCTCTTGCCCCTTGGGAAAATTTCAGCTGGTCTAGGGTCTGATCTATTGTTTCAGACTGGCTCTCTGTAATCTGATCTCACTGCTGCATTTCAAATGATTATAACAGACTCAGAGTAGCTCCAAAATTATCATGTCACTGCTGCAAGACACAGCTCCTGACCTATTAAACAGAGCCCCTTGGATTGAAAGAGGCCATAAGGAGTCAAATTTAGAATCTCAGAGGGATGAATACCAAAATTATAATAGCTTCTATGCACAGAAGGAAGAGAATACAAAATAAATGAATAATAGATATATCTTTTAATAGAAAAATGTGAAAAAAATGAATCAAATTTGGCATTGTAGTAACACTAAAGCCTCAGGGTCTTGGCTGTGTAAATAGCGTCTATTTGTCCATGTGGTACAGTTTAGGGTTTATAGAGGTTATTTCATTCTCATTCTTACAGTGTTTTGGCTATTAATAGGACCAACAGCCTCCTTGCTGATCTCTTGCTGGGCATAATGCTGAGTTTCCACGGTACAGCTCTACCCTACCACTCCATCCAAGTTCCTTCAGTAATGTTCACCTGACTTAGGACAGGCTTCCACTGTCAAGTAAGTGAAGGGCGCATAAATTCTAAGTGCTAATCTACCTGACCTCTTGATAACACCACTGCCCAGACTGAAGCTAGTCATAATAATTAAAATAGAGTACACTTAGGATCATTAAAAAACACCTTTCACAAAATTATGAGGAGAGGAGATTAATATTACTTGTAGTTACATCATTACTATAAAGTACAGGTAAGTATGAGAAAACAATTTATAGAAAATAAAAAATATAAATTAACCAAAACGAACTGTTGTCTAGTTGACTTAGACTTAGGGGGATTCCATGTGTGGCAGAACTGTGTGCCACAGGATTTCCAACGGTTGACTTTTTGGAAGTCCATCTCCAGGCCTTTCTTCAGAGGCACATTTGGGAAGACTTGACCCTTCAAGCTCATCTTGAAAGATTCTATAGACAAAATAGCGAATGATGCAGGAAACATCAAAAGAAGATGGCAGGAATATACAGAGTCACTGTACAAAGAAGCGGTCTTGAAGCAAATCTTGAACCATTCAGTTAATAGCCAAACACATTAGTTGCGTGCACCTCCCAGGGACTTCAAATATAAATTAGGCAACTTCTAAAGATGAATGCGTTGTTGTTTTGTTGTTTGGTGCCATCAAGTCTATGATAGCTGGAGCTGTGTGTCAACTTGGCTAGACCACAATTCTGTGTGGTTTAAGCAATTGTGATGTGGGTTGTTCCAATGATGGGATCAGATGTGTATGTTCTGAGCAGCCAATCCACTGAAAGGGAGTTTCCCTATGGGTGTGGCCTGCTTCCAGTATATTTATGGACATCCTGGGAAAAGAGAGACTCTTCTGTGGTTCAGGATT